ATCTTTTTAAGATTATGTACTTTACATTTATTATATAGTGTATAGGAGACATTTTTGACATTTGAATTATAATATTATGAGGTCCTGTTGTATATGAATATATATATATATATATATATATATATAATATAGGTATGTTGTGTCATATTGCCATGCCCTTTCAGGGCGTCACAAACAATTGAAAAAACTTAACCACACTCTGTATGCATGTGCTTAAAAATATATCTTATCATACTGCAATAAATAAATAAAAAAATCTAAAATAGTTACGATAAATTTAAAAATACCGAGTCGTATCGAAAATCCCTTTTTTATAATCGCTTGAAAAACCAAGAATATTATTAAAACAAGGCTATTTGCGAGCTAAAAACATGACTACACATTTGTTGCCTAAATAATAAGACCATATTTTTATTCACAGCCTAAACAATTTAAGTACACATATTTACAGGTCGGCCAAGACTCAGACTTGTAAGGCCTATGTCATCAAATTCAAATTCAAAATATCTTTATTCGTGTAGGTCTATTACAGACTCTTATGATATGTCAAATCTACCGTCAGTTCGGAATGATTTCGAGGTGAGAAGAACTGACAAGAAACTCAGCTCATATTTTCTTTAATGTTGAATCATGGCTTAAAACAACGTGAACATTATTAAAACAAGACTATTTGCGAGCTAAAAAATATGACTATACATTTGTTGCCTAAATAATGACATTACATTTTTATTCGCAGCCTCAAGAACTCAGGCCTTACAAGTCGGCCAATCTTTCCCGACTGGTCGGTTGCAAACGAACTAATAGACATAAGAGCTACGAACTAACTTGACCGTTCTGAATCGCGAACTATTAAGCACAACGCTCAGCAGTAACAAATTCAGAATTCTATTGTTTATGTAGCATATGTATATAACTGAAGTAACTCATGCATAATACTGTTATGCTTATTATGTGGTGTGAAGAGGAAAACTTAGATACAAAGTGGAATGCTATTTTACACTCTATAATCTTTGACGAAAATAACGAAGTAGTTACATAGATAGATTGTACCTTATGCTAAATTTTGATTTTTAAAAGCATATATTGTTTAATGCTTTTTTTAAACTTTTTTTCAGTCATGTGCCGCCTACTTTATTCTTAGCAATACTCTCTTTCTCTATGGTTGTCTGGAGGATTAATACTTTTTTTTAACTTTTTTTCAGTCATTTGTCGCCTACTTTATTTTTAGCAATACTCTCTTTCTCTATGGTTGTCTGGAAGAGATTGTGTTGAGGACAGTTTCTGCACTTGCTTCTTTTTTTATTTTATTTCTCAATGTATCTACTTTCAATATCGGTGCAATAACAGTATTATAAATAAATACATAAAATTGACTTTGCTTATATGGACAGATACATATAAACATTTTACATGGTATTCTTTAAAAGAGCAAATTATAAATATAAAAAAATCAAATACAAATATGTAAAGCTTCCATTTATAACCTAGCTTCCCTCCAATTTGTTTATATGTCTACCAAAGTGATGCAAAAAGGCAGTAACTCAGTGTTTTGACTGCTCAGGGAGACAAACCAAAGGTCTTCAATTACAAAAATTATAAGGAGCATAATGTAAGTAACATTATGCTCCTTATAATTTTTTGCATTCTAAACTTTGGATAATAAAATATAAAGCTACAATTAAATACCATAATATGAAAATTCATATATGTTCATATAAGTTAAGCGACACACAAAACTAAATAAGACTGTCTACCATTATTATTACTATTTGTTGATAATTTTGCCTAAAAAAATTTTGCCCTTTTATATATATTGTGATATAAATCTAAAATATTATTTATATTACTTATTATTACTCCTGTGCTCACCACCTCTCAAGTCTAAAGCTCATAGTTTTTTATAGGTGGATATGGTAGGGATATAGGGGAAATAATAACCAAATAATAATATTTTGTAAGAAACAAAATATTATTATTTGGTTAATTGATATAAAATTGATATAAATAAATACATCATCAACATGAATTGCCTTTATCCCATTATTGGGTTGGCTAAGTATGTCATCCTTTACCACTAATCTCTATTGGCCATCATATCAGAGTATACTCTCATTTTACACCTAACATCTTTCACACAATCCATATATTTTATTTGGTTGTCCCCTTACTTTCTATTGTTAAAAATAAATATTTAAAACGAAGAATAACATAATATGTACATGAATGAAGTATTAATAATTGAGATACAGAAGATCTGTTTATGTAGATAAAATTGCAAGTGAAGGGCCTTCTGACAGTAAGTGTGTTTCTGACAGTAATTTATGGTACTCCTTATGAATTGCCATTCCGGAATAATCCAATGTTGAACCCTCAATATTATATGTATCAGGTTAGGTTGACCACACACTCTTATCACTGGAAGTCATAGTGATATATTCCCGATTTATTTTCCAGGGTGAGTGAACAGACCTGACCTCGTATTCATCTGATCAACCTACTGGTGCCCCAGTGTAAACCTTAGCGGGTGCACCATTCCATTACCATCCATAAAAAATTACATTATTCTAAATAATTAAATTCAATAAATGTAAAAAGATAGGAATTATTCGCTGGATAATTTTAATTATTTGTATATTGTAAAAAGCGATTTCGTTTAGTTGTGAAATGATAAAAAATAAATAAACATACCGACACTTTCGCATATAAATTAGTAATGACAAATATGTTACGTACTTTAATGAAAAAATTGTAATATTAATATAACAAGGAAACAAGAAATTAATAATAAACATATTTTTTTACTTTCCTGTTAGTCAAGGTAAATAATATACTTTCAATAATTATTATAATTTCTAGAAAATAATACAAATAAATTTGTTCTTACCGCCAAATGTATATATGGAATAAAACAAACGTAAGCGGCGGATGATTTGTCTATATGCGATTAAACTGTTTATCAAGCATTGACAAAATAAACGAAAAATTAGAAATTATTTATACTTATCACATTCCTGACTGACTGAACTGAAGTAGAGTTCACTGATGTCTGACTGACTGAAAGTGTTGCCAATCCCAAAAAAACTAAAAATAAACGTTGGTCAATAAAAAAAAACAGAGGAAAATAGTAGCTAAAATAAAAAACGGTAACTTCCTCGCATTTGGGAATGTTGCAGTGTATCTCTAGTAAGTTTACTAATATTATAAACGCTAATGATTGTGAGTATTGTAGTAGTAGTGAGGCTGGATTGATGTTTGTTCCTCTTTCACGCAAAAACTACTGAACTAATATTTATGAAACTTTACAGTAATATAGCTTATGCATCAGAATAATATATAGGCTATAAATTTTACGTGGGTGAACTAGTCTTATATATAAAATTTTTGTGTCACAATGTTAGTTTCCATACTCCTCCAAAACGCCTTGACCCATTTTTATGAAATTTTACATGCATATTCAGTAGGTCTGAGAAGAGGCTACTATCTATGTTTTCTACCCCTAAGTGATAATAGTTGTCCACCTGTAATATTTTATTTTTGGTAATTTTTTTTATAATGTGGTAATAAAAAATATATACAACCGTAAATTTTTACATCTTTATCACCAAACCCCTATTTTTAATAGCGATTTTAATTGATATGTCAAAACAACGTTTGCGGGATCAGCTAGTAATCCTCTAGTATTGTTTAAACAAATTTAATCATAAACCGCGATCGCTGTTCGCAATTTACAATGGCAGAGTCTCTTTCATTTCCTGCCCAATTCACTCGCTTTAACAATGGGTAAATACGTCATGTTTCATTGAAACGTTGTAGGTGAACTTACATTATACTAGCTGACCCATGCAACTTCGCCTGCATCACGCATACTTAACATTTATCGTTATATTTTGCCCAATTTACATAATATCTTTTTTAAATTATAGCCTATATGTTATTCTGATATATAAGCTATATTACTGTTAAGTTTCATCAAAATCCCTTCAGTAGTTTTTGCGTGAAAGAGTAACAAACATCCATCCATACTAACAAACATTCGTCTTTATAATATTAGAAAGATAGCATAGCATCACATAATGTAATTGATATGCGGAGAGAAAGTCATTGGAATGTAATTTTGTAAAACCTTCATACAAGTGGGTGTGCTTCATCAATTCAATACGAAAAGTTCAACACTTATTTTCACATTTCTTTCGTAACTTATATCGGTATCATTTGACCATTAGTATTCTGTCTGACTTTCGGCTTGGTATAACACTAACCCTGTGTACAAAACTCACAAAGGTATCAGTGTAGAGGTTTAATACACTTTTGATAAATATATTGAAATACAAAAGTAAAATATATATATAATTGGTTAAAAGTAAAAGGCTTACAACATATCAACAGGAAAATTTACAAACAATAGAAGGCACCGAATACACTGTTTCTAAATATAAATATAAATAAGCCAAAGAAGCATATAGCCAAATAAGCAAAAGAAAAAAAAATGAAACAAAAATAAAATTGAACTTATGTCTTCTATTAATAAAGGCCAGATGTAAATTTAACACAGTTCCAATATTGAACAACTAAGCAAAGCCAGGACAGGCCAAGTCTGTCGATAAACGGGATTGTTTCAGAAATGGAACCTAGTGCTTTCTAAACCATCGTGCGTCGAGGTTAATTCCCTATGATTTCGCGCCAAACATCCCATCTTGGCGCGAAATCACAGGGAATTTACCAATTAACAATTAACTTAATCCTAACATCCCCCACTAATGTCCAACGTAGGTATACAGTTAACGCAGGCATATGCGCCATTTTATTATCAACCATTAACAAAAGTCTATAAAGAGAAATGGCCCTATCAAAAAAATAGTGAATACTTGCTCATAGCTTAATGTACATAAACATATTAAACTCATTATATAATCAATTCTCAAGTCACGCCCGGTAGGTATATTAAGCAGGTAGCTTATTACATCATCATCGACATTCACAATTCACATGTGAGCCAGTGAACCGGACCGACGCTCCGACGAGCAGTGTACAATTTACCTTCGAAAAATACAATTCAATGTTTTGTTTAACAATCTGTGATATTATGTGACTGTATATTTTTATTCCTGTGCCTACAGCTTTTTTATTACGGTAAGTTTAAAACAATATTTTGCTTTTTAATTGCATTTAAAAAATAATTGATTAAGTTGCAGGTAAAGGCACAGAGTAATTAACACATAAAGTTTGCACCGCCTTTTTATAAAGAATTAAACCTAACCTGTTAGGTTAGTCTGTTCGCTTATATCTTTTAAATTTTGCAACGGATTTTTATGCAGTTTTCAGCAATAGATAGAGTGATTCAAAAGGTTTATATGTATAACACATGCTTGTTATAACATAGAACAAGTCGAGAACTTCAATGATTTGTAATGCTGGATGTAATAAGCACAACAAGCCAACAAGAAATTCAATTATTTGTAATGGAGGGGTCGCTTGTTTATATATGTAACAACCCGTACTGGTTTTAAAAATATGACTTACACAATTTCACACAAATATTGTTTTATTGAGACAGGCATTGTTTTGTTTTAATGAAACATGCAGACAAAACCAAGTATACTGTATATGTAAATAAATAACTCCTTCTAAGCAGCTTTATCGATGTTTATGACATTTTTTGTGCATTTCGGCTAGGTTTGGGAATCGACCAACATATATTTTCATATCCAATATTTTATTTACTTATCTAATATTTTTTAAAAATCAATCTGACCCTAAATTTTTACCCCTCTACCTTAACCACTATTTTTATAAGCGATTTTAAAATATATGGCAAAACAACATTTGTGGGGTCAACTATGTAGAAACGGGGGGAAGGGGATTATTAGTAATGGGGACTCATGACCCCATTACTAGCAATGTACCATGTCAGGTTGACCTCCACGCGGTTCCCCCTGGAAACCATCGTGATAAATTCTTGGCGAATTTGTCACGATGGGCCAACTGACCTGACCTCATGATCATCTTATCATCCTCCACTGGTGCCCCGCCAGCGTAAACCGTTAGCGCAGGCGGGTGCACTATTCCATTATCATCCACATAAAAAAAAAACTATGTAGTATACAATCTATACATATAAATAAAATTGGGTGTTTGTTTGTAATATTGAAATAACCGTTTTTACTACATGCATATGATTATAAGTATGGTAACACCAAAACAAAATATTTTGTCTGTCTGTCTATTTGTTCCGGCTAATCTCTGAAACCGCTGGATCGACTTTAACGGGACTTTTATTGGCAGGTAGCTGATGTAATAAGGAGTAACATAGGATACTTTTTAGAAATATACAGTTGAATTCCACGCAGACGAAGTCGTGGGAACAGCTAGTTTATATATATATCTACATTGATACAAACTTAACTTATTTTCTCTTAGTCAGATGATTTTTTGCTAGATATTAAACAACAAACACGTATTTTTATTAACAGCCTAACTACATTACAAGCATACGGTTCGCCGTGTATTTCGATATAATAACTTGTTTGTTGCTCATTATCACAACATATACCTACACTACTTATTAAACACTAGCGACCCATCCCGGCTTCGTGCATAATGCATCTCTCATTACAAATTTTTAAATGTCTTGGCGCCGGAGTGATTTTTACTTTATAGTATAGAAAACTTCGGCGCCGATTGTACATATGTATATGTACACATGTATTATACATATAAACTATCCTCTTGAATCACTCTATCTATTGTAGAAAATATATTGCATTATAACCCGTTGTGTAATTTAAAAGATATAAGCGAACAGACAGCGGCGACTTTGTTTTATATTTTTTTTTTTTCTTTTATTTTTTTTTTTTTTGGGATTTTTGTACACATAATGTGACGATGACAATCCCATCGTACCTATACTAAATAACAAAAATAAACTAAAAAACTTAATCTAATATGATACCATCCAGAACAATAACTTGGCTGCATCGGAAGCTGGTTCTGCCAATATTTCATGAAATGAAATATGTTTTATATTATGTAAAGAAACACATACATCACGACTATTTACACGGATAGGGTAGTCAGAGGCATTGTCCAAAGACCTTAGGATGAACGCAACACTAAACGTATCCACATTACATATATTTAGAATATAATAATTTATCCGGGACTGAGCCTATCAACGTCTCTTGTAATAATTTTTGATTATATTAACGGTGTTTCTTTCACTGGAAAGTTAGTCAGAAACATAAATTAACACACAAAGTTTATTATGGTTTCGACCAGATTTGAACCCTGAACTCACGGCGTAGAGTTTAAGTGAGGTATAGATGACGGTTATGATTTAATTCCGTCTTATAGTCTTGATGCTGACCCAAAAACATAATGAAGTGTTAATTACATTAAATTGAAAGAAACCAATCTGGGAAGTATTGTGAAATATTCGTATAGACTGATTCCATATATATCAAATTCAAATTCAAAAATTCAAATTCACAAATTCAAATATTCAAAATTATTTTATTACATTCTACAGTAGTTGAAGCATAAAGATGCCTGAGAGCCTCCACTCTTCCATATCACACATCAAACATTTGTAAAATGTTTCTTGTACAATTCCATATATATCTTCCACTTTTTGTTATTCTTATGTATAAGCAGTATTATTATATATATTACTGTAAAGTTTCATCTAAATATATTCAGTGACTTTTGCGTGAATAGAAATACAGAAATAGAAATAATCTTTATTCAACTAAACTCATTACAAGCACTTTTGAATGGTCATATTCGGAATGCAGATTCATCACAAGAAGAATGAGCAAGAAACTTATGTGTTGCTCTTTTTAATAGATGTTTTTTTATATAAATAATTACAGTATAACAAGTAAGAGGCATGCGATAATCAACATGAATGAGTAACAAACATCCATTCATCCATACTTACACACTTTCGCGTTTCTAATATTACTAAAATTGAAATTATGAAACAAAACCATTAAGGAAAATTTCAACATTTCAGGAGATGAAGTTACTGCTTCTACTGCTGGGCTGCATCATCTCGACATCGGCTAAGAAATGCAACGGTGTACTCTTCGACCAAAGATATTACGAGCCAGAAATACTGAAAGACGGTCTCAATAAAGTTAGACAACTTGTATATAGTAGGAAAGATAACACCGTCTACTTCCTATTCAATCAAGGAGTTTTAGCTTACGATGGTTCTGTAGGTTATATTAATTTAGATAACAGATTATCCGGTTATTATAAAGGTATTAGAAACGCAACCAGTATTTCTATAGATGATAAGAAGAATAGAATTTATATAGGCAGTATAGATGGACTGTACGCTATAGGTGATAGGAGGATACCTGAGAAATTTCCACTATACGAACCTATACAGCATTTGTTTTTTAAAAACGTTTTATACTTTACAAACATGAGAAATAGGATGTATAGTTTCGACAGTGATGGCGTAAAAGTGGTTGATGATATGAGGGATTATGTAGCAGAAACGTTTGTTGTCGATAATGATGGGAATATGCTGTTTACAAATGGAAAGAAATTGTACAAACTAAAATTAGGTACAAGATCTTCCGCGTTCGAGATTATAACACGGTCGATAACGGCGTTGTCCAATGATTTAGAGGACAGATTGTTTGCAGCGTCCTTGGATGGTATATTCGTGTACAATAAATACAAGTATGCACTAGACAAAATGTCAAATTTACATGAGATTAAAGCTTTAACTTTTAATAATATGCTAGATCCTATCTATGTAGTATTTGATTTGTTAGTCAAACTTAAGAATCCTGTGAATTGTGTTGAGGATGATTTCTTTTTGTGATATTTGAATGTATTAAAATTATATTTATTTGATTATTATCTTTTATTATAAAGGAGTTAAACAGAAATAGAAATTCCTAAATGTATGTGTTTACAAAAACTATTTATTGTAATTTTATTGAAATTATTAAAGCGAAAATGTGTGAATATGGATGCTTCGATGTTTGTTACTCTTTTTCTTTAAACTAGGATTTTCATAAAGCTATAAGGGCATAGCAATCCGACAATATCAGAATAAAACAGTAGGTGTATATTTGTTAAGTTGGACTAAAAAGGACATGCATCTACAGCCGTAAAACATATTAATAAAAAAAAAACTCAGGCTATAATTTCGTGAGGGTGAATACGCTAGGTTTAGTATTGATATGGTGCTATATCTTAATTTGTATTCAAAGAAAACCTTAAAATATAAAGTTGAACAACATTTATTTTAAAGAGAGTTTGTATAACATGTTCCAATCTGTTCAGATGTTCAAACCTTTGACACATGTCTTAATCCAATGAATATACAAATAAGGTTTATGAAGCTACTAGTTGTTAAAAAAACTGTTATCAAAATAGGTACGTGGACCTATTCAGAATATGTAAACTATTAGATGTAAAAGATAAAAATAAATTATTAACATTATTGGAGCATTTTAAGAATAATATATTTAAAATGTTATTCATAAATTACACGTAAAGTTCAAAATAATGAATATATTGTACCTGTAATTATTCCGGAATAAGAACTAGAAAATATTTAGTTCCAAAATATTATAATATGTTACCAAAAAATATAAGACTATTAGATAATGTAACGAAAAAATTATTCAAAATTAATTATTAAACTTTTTTGTGAACAAATCATCAAATTAGGACATAAAATGTCTGGTTTTACAGTAAGGTTTTTCTAAAAATATACTTGTATGTGGATATGTGTCTATATGTACATTATAAGTCCGCGTTAAGCGCTTTTGCAGACAAACTGCTTAGCAGTTTTACGACTTGATATTTATATTTTCTGTTTTTGTATTAATGAGTGTGTAAATAAACAAATAAAATGAAAATAAAAGTATCTTCTTTTACATATTCAGTCCATAATATTATTAAATATTACTCCTTTTTAGTCAGCAGCTGAGTAAATAATAGGGTTTCAAAAAATAGATCATATAATGAGAGTATAGGATCATAGTGCAGAGGCGCCATCTGTTATTAACTATCATTGGAGATAATTACGATAATACTATACAGGCAAAAATACTAATATTTCTGTAACAATAATCAGTCATAAATACAAACTACAATTAAAAGAGTTGTATCTAATATTAATTCAAGAATTCTAAACTCTAGATTATATTCCTTTACTAAATTAATTATTGCCATAACGAAAAATATCGTACGTCAGTCTTGGTCATTCAAGTTATCATATATATGTCTGTGTGCCAATATGAGTCATATTTATTGTACCCACACTTCTTTAATTAACTGTTTAAAAAAATTGGTAAATATATTTGTTTGTTTTGTAATCTTGTGTTATAATGCCTTTGTAACTTGAAAACAATAGTGCGTCGTGATGTTTACTATTTAAACATTGTAATCTAAACAATTCGGTAAATATAAATTACAAACATGTGAATTATACAGTGTAATGTTGTTTCGTTATTCCTTATTCTAATATCACTTAGAATCATATCACATTATGAATAATAGCTTCTCAAATAAGTTTCAAATCATTCATACATTAAATCTTGTCTGTGGGCTGACCACAGAATTAAAGTTTCCAAACATTTATGAGACTTCTTAATAAAGCTGTAAAGTGCTAATCGAACTAATTTACGCAATCGATTTTTAGCAAAATCACAGTTAATTAAGCCTAATATAATTTTTCACATAAAATACGAAGCCGAAAATCAAAGGATGACTTTAACACAATTAAATTATTAAATATAAGAGTATTAATAATATTCTCTTGTGTTCATGAAAAATTAGCGCCATCTGTGCATTAGTTTATGTATTAAAATCACAATTGCTTCAGGAAAGTTTAATGTTAAAGTCAGGCCAATCCCACTAAATTTGTTTAGAATCTGCTTACTATGCTGTAGCACTAAAAGACATGGAATAGAAAGGGAGGAAGCCAAGGCAAAACCTGTTTATTGCTCTTTACTGCCTCCTATCAGATTTAATGTTACACATTAAATCATTAACTAGCGCCATCTATTAAATACTTCTTGAACTTAAACACTGACCTATCAAAGGAACTGAAGGATAACATATTATCGCTATAAAATCTTATATTACGAATTAAATAAGTACCAGACAATGAAACTTTTATAGATAATGCTAAATTAGTCTCGAAGTTTATACCAGAGAAATGATATCGGACGTCCTTGATGGTCTAGCGGTTTAGCACACCGGCTTTCTTCCGATGGTTGCGGGCTCGAAACCTGTGACCAACATCTGTACTGCGCGGTACAGACATTGGTATTCATGAGTATGATTATATTGATATGGGTGTTTCTATATAAAAAATGAATTTAAGAATATCTATGGAGTAACACAGGCTCTGCTTAGATTGGGAATAGATGGCGCTGTGTGAATTATCTGTGTTATTATTATGTCACATTAATGAAACAACATCCACATAGAAATAAAGTGGAAATATGGGTATAAATTAAAAAAAAAGTCGACCTGCAAAAATTTTGCTGAACAAAACTTTCTTTTTCTAGGCAACGACTGAAGGGGCACAAGAAACTAGTGATATGACGACAGCATCCGAAGGCATTTACATCGATGGAGTCCTGTATGAGAAGGAGATACTGAAAGCAGATCTTATTCGTCCATCTTTGTTAACTGTCGACCGCAATACCAATATGTTATACTTCAGTTTCCTTTCTGATGACGAAAATGAATGCAACTATAAATCAGCTAAAATAGATCTTAATACTAAACAATTTACTATCACAGATGTTATAAAAGAAGGGTATGCTCACGCAATAGATCAGAAAACGGGACAAGTATATGTAGGTTCTGATGATGGTATTTACAAATATGATCCAATAACAAAAAATACTGAACTCATAGGTGCAAAAGGGTGTAATATTTTGAGCATTTACTATAAAGATTTATTATATTTCACAAAACTTGACAAATTGCGTTTTTGCATACAATCACGGACGGCGAAACATCTAGATATGATGAATTGCAAGATTTGGAGGTGGAGAATTTCCTTATAGATAATGAAGATGTGATGTTTTTCGTTAATGAAAATGGTCTCTATAGTCAAAAGAAAGGTACATGTAATGCAACTTTATATGAGGGAATACCTGACTGCACTCCAGAAAGTCTAGCAATTGACATGAACGGTGTTGTACATGTATGTTATAGGGAAAGTATTTTTAAGGTTAACAAAGAAACTGCCAGTATAGAACTATTAGTGGATTTAGGAAGAGATTTTATAGCAACTGCGGCGTTTGATAAGAATAATAATATTGTATACGCAGAAGGTACAAGAGTTGTACGACTGGTGCCTAGTGCCGATAGAAATGGTGGCATCTAATGGTGAATCTGAATGGTGGCAAAGAGTATAAGATTAAAACGGGCAAAGGACGTTTGATGCTTCGTGGATCAGATTTCATCTAGGAGGTTCAGATTGTTGTTTTTTTTTGTTATTTTCTATCTGCTGTTGCTATTTCATTGTCAGACTATTAAGTATGTTATATGATATGTATATGGTATATTTAGGTATGTATTTTATACCTATTTATCTATAGCTTTATATATACTATATGTATGTTTACATGTACTTACGTTTAGTAAATATATATTATTTATGACACGGGTATTATTTAATTATTTTTCATATTGATTACATTTGCACCGCCTACAGTTTCCCTGCACAACCTGTGGTTGACTGGTAGAAAATGCCGTAAGGCGTTAAGTCCGCCATATTTACCTTGGTATTTTGTGCATTGAAGTTATATAAATAAAAATAAATAAATTGAAGCGGTCAAAGCACATTTGATGCTTTGATGAAACTACTTAAAGTGATTAAAAAAAGTAATAAAAATAATAAATAAAGTATCTCTTGTCTATTATTGGCGAAACCAATGAAATATTACCTCTTATTGTTATTGAAAAATGCATGATATTGAAAAATGATGCATGCATGCAAAAATACCATTTTGTTAAGGGATGATAATAGAATGGTGCACTCGTCTGCGCTAAAGGTATACGCTGGCGAGGCACCAGTGGAGGATGATAAGATGAGTATGAGGTTAGGTCAGTTTTTTTTTTAAGGATTTAATGGGACGGTGCACCCGCCTGCGCTAACGGTTTACGCTGGTGCCCCGGTGGAGGATGATAAGATGAACATGAGGTCAGGTCAGTTAGCTCATCGTGACAAATTCTCCAAGAATTTATCACGATGGTTTCAAGGGCAAACCCCGAGGAGGACCACCTGACGTGGTACATTGCTAGTAATGTTAGGTTATTAAGTCCACATTACTAACAATTTTACCCCATTCCCCCCGGACAGGTCAGTTAGCCCAACGTGGCTAAATTCACCAGAAATTTAACATGATGATTTCCATGGGAACCGCGTGTAAACCTGACCTGGTACATTACTAGCAATTAATCCACATTACTATCAATCTCCTTTAGGGGGATGGGGATTGTTAGTAATGGTATGTAATATTATATTATCTGTGATAATGGGAACTAGTAATCCCTATTGCTAGCAATGTACCATGTTAGGTCGACCTCCGCGCGGTTCCTCCTGAAAACCATCTAATAAATTCATAGTCATTTTATCACGATGAGCTAACTGATCTGACCTCATATGCATCTTGTCATCCTCCTGAGAATGACATACTGCGCCGACCCCAAATAATAGGATAAAGGCAAGGCAATGATGATGACATGTACCAACTCTTAATAAAATGCCCTCCGATCGATCCCCCGATCAATTCAAACGGGGACCGATGTTACGACGGCCTGAACCGAGGTACGAAACCCTAGCGGTGCCCTCAGACTAAAGTCGTATCCGTCAGGCAGGAGTTGTCCTTCAGCCGCTCCATAAGTCCTTCCTTTGGTTTGGAGTGCCATCTGCACTCGCCCCCTATCGTCCGGTGAAGCTGTAAAGGCCAGCTGCGGCCAACAGCATTAGAGTAGTCCGAAAAAAACTTAATTAATAAAAATATCATTCTATTCTCAATATTTAGAAATTCATAAAGCAAGGTTTTTTTGTATTAAATGTTTATTTCTCGTATAAAAAGTAATACTAGTACAAAAACTCTTATTTACCTAAATTAGAAATGTACACGCAGTTCATACATTTGGCTTGAAATTTAAGGGAATCATACATTACTTCACATCAATCAAATTATCTCAACTTACAATATAACATAATAATATGTTCTATTATTTTTCTAATAAATGAATGAGTCTTTTAATATTTATACTTTGTTTCCATAATGGATTCAAATTTGGAATTGATTTGTAATTTAAATTTAGACACAAATTTGCTATTAAACATTTAAAAATAGAACAATCTTAAATTTATTTATGTAATAACGGATTTAAAAGAAAATTTACATTAGAGGCACATTTTCAAACATAAATTACATTTCAAAAATAGAACAATAACTGTCCAAATTTTAAAATTTCTATTGTGTTCCAAAATCTGTTTCTGATATTAATTTTGTTGTCATTTGTATGTCTGTTTGAAACTTCCCTAATATCAGAGATACATTTTCATTTGAACACAGATACATTTTTGAAATTCTAATTTATTTTAAAAATAGAACAAATATGTGTTCTATTTTTAAAATCTATATTGTGTTCCAAAATCTGTCTCTGATACTAAATTTGTCGTCATTTGTTCAAGTCTGTTTGAAACTTCCAAGCCATTCGATGACAATATATTCAACATTTCTTTGCTCGCAAATAAACTAGGTCATAATTAGTCTATGGTTGTTTCGTGGTGGTGAATCAATGGTAGCCTGGTGGTCCGTACGCTGTCGACGGTCTATACCCAGAGTTCCCGTTGTGGAAGCCAGTTAAGGAACCGCTGAAATCACTTGGAGCGTTGTAGTTGTAACCTGAAATAAATTAAATTAAATAATACAGTTACTGTAATTTTTTTTCTTCAAGATTACTCTCACAGAGCCATCTAGTCCCAAGCTGGAGTTTCCTCCGTGTACACTTAGATTGTGGAATGAACATGGCTTTTCAAGAAGGGTATATTAAGGTTTCTTAAGAGTCTGTAACGCGCACGTGATACCCCTGGTGTATCAGGCGTCCATAGGCTACGGTAACTGTTTACCATGATGAATTTACCGAGATGGGCCGTATGCTTTGCTACCTACGTAGTATAAAAAAAGCTAAGCAGAGCTTGTGTTATGGGTGATAACTGATACAAATACGTACATAATATACATAAAAAGCATGCAGACCGATAGACAGACAAAAATTGTAAAAAATGTTATTTTGGTTTATGTACCGTATTTATATTCATATGCAAGTAGGGAAAAATTGTTATTTTAATATTACAAACAGACACTCCAATTTTATTTATAGACTCGGCAAACATTGTTTTGCCATATAAATTAATAACGCTATAAAAAAATAGGGGTTGATGATAGAAGGGTGAAAATTTTGGATTGTATGTATTTTTGTATGTTGTATAAAAAAATTGAAATTAAAAATTTTGCTTAAAAAAAAAAAATTAGGGGTGGACTACCCCTAACATTTAGGGGGATGAAAAATAGATGTTGGCCGATTCTCAGACCTACTCAATACGCTCACAAAATTTCATGAGAATCGGTAAAGCCGTTTCGGAGGAGTATGGGAACGAAAACTGTGACACGAGAATTTTATATATAAGATATAAATTATGTTATCTGTGATATACGTAAGAAAGTTCATACTCGAGGTAAGGTATCGGGCATAGTTTGCCAGTTAATTTGTAATATAATGCGAAAAAATAATATTAATGAATTATTACTGAAATTGTAAAATTGTAATGTAAGTTTATATAATACTTTAATTCTAAGTTTGTTTAATTATTATATTATCTGTGCTACTTACATAATATTTTAGTCAATTTGCCAGAAAAAAAATTCAATAGTGTCGTAAAATATTTTCGTTGTAAAAAAGCTTATTATAAAATTGAAGAATTTATAAATGATAATAATGTTTTTGTAGAAAATATCTAACTTAAAATTCATAGCGCTGACAATGTTATCTGATTGAACAGAGATTAAGTGCGTAGCGGTTTCTATGTTGATTGTCGCATGCCTAATTCTTGTTGTTAATTAAATATATGTAAATCAATACTTATTTAAAACAGCAGCACACAAGTTTCTTGCTTATTCTTCTTGTGATGAATCTGCATTCCGAATAAGCGGTAGAATAAAAAAACTTGACTATTCAAAAGTGCTTATATTAAGTTTATATTAGTTTTTGAATAAAGATTATTTCTATTTCTATTTAGTCTGCGCCCCACCCTGAGCCCACGGCTGGTTATATTTGTGGCTATGTTTGTATTGAGCAAAACTATACTATACCTTGTTGAACGTTGTGGGTAGGTTCAGGATATCTCGCCTCACCCTCGTACCTGACGTCAGCGTGGAAACCAGTCTTCCAGTCGGCGTGGTACGTCACTGAAATCACAATACAGTTTCAATACTCCCAAAATGGATAAGAACAATGTAGTAGCTCATATAATTTAGTTTGGCATTTAGTTCGTCATACTCGTGAACGGGTGCTGCTTGTGGGACTGGTCTGTTCGGGTTACGAACACTGATTAAACTATTTACTTTCGTAGCATATGCTGGTGGTCACTCTATTAATTCTATTAATATTCTCCCAAATATTAATTCAAAAATGAATGTATATTATTGTAAACATGTACAACATTTATTTGAAAAGAATACAAGTTGACTTGTCAGTTCTTCTCATCTCAAAAGCATTCCGAACTGACGGTAGATTTGACATATCATAACAGTCTGTAATAAACCTACATGACTACAGATATTTTTACTTTGATTTTTTTTAATCTGCAATGGCCTTGGTGTGAAAATATTCACGTACCTATCGTAATTGGTCATATCTGCCTACCCTGTTTTGGGAGTGGCGTGAAGATATACGTACCTATCTGTGTGCGTCCATCAGGAAGTTGTACCCTGTACTCCCCACGTACTACGTTACCATCCGAGGTCTCTCGTCGGTCGTAATCATTACCAGAATGAGCATCCTTCACGGAATACCCGAATTCATACGATTTTGGCTGAAAAAATGAAATTTATGTAATAACTAGCTGCACGCGCGACTTTGTCCGCGTGGAATTTAACTTTATTTTTTAAAATAAAAGTAGTAAATAAGTAGCACCTTATTAAATAAGCTACGGCTACAGTTATTAAATGAGATACATAATATCTTTTTAAATTATAACATAAGTAGAAGGGGATTGTAGACTAATAATCCCATTTGCTAGCAATGTACCATACTTTGCTAGTCAGGTTGACCTCCACGCGGTTTCCCCTGGAAACTATCGTGATAAATTCCTGATAAATTTATTCTGATATCCATAACGAGTAACAATCCATATGCCCAATTTACACTCAGCCCGAGTGGGCAGGGAAGTGAGTACGGAAGTGAGCAGTGCGAGAGTGTAAACACGAGTGGAAACACTTCTCATGCCATTGCCGCTGCCACTCGCGCTGCCCGGCGCTCTCTGGATTGTCGGATTTTCGTGCGCGAGTCAAAGGACTGGCAGCGCGAGTAGCAGCGTGTTTTTACATTCAGCCCTCTCGCTCAGTTGTCGCCCGGCAATATTTCCGGCAGCGCGAGTGGCAGGGGAAGCGGTTGAATGTAAACGTAGCTTATATACATCCATCCAACCATACTCACGAACTTTCGCGTTTATAATATTAATAAGATCTATTGCCCTCTGTGACTTTTATCGGCGCCAGCGCTGATTAAAACGAGACGCGTGTACATTGATAATTTTTTTTTACATTTTTTTATCCGCGAATAGAACATTCGCGCATCTTGGTGCCTCATCACTGTGGTCACAGCATATACTCAAACGACAATTACAGATAAATTCATCTTTATATAGTGAGCTGTACTTGCGTCTTAGTCTGCGTGGCAATTAACTTTATTTTTCTAAAATAAAAGTAGCATAAGTTACCTTATTACATCAGCTACCTGTCAAAATCGGTCGATTCAGAGTCCATTTCAGAGATTAGGCGGAACAAACAGACAGACAGACAGACAAATATTTAAAAAAATGTAATTCTGGTGTATATAACATACCATATGCACGTAATTAATAACAGTTATTTAAATATTAACAGACACACCAATTTTATTTATATGTATAATAATAATAATTCTTTATTGCGCATAGACAAACAAAGAACAATAAAAATAAAGATAAAGAACAATATAAATAGTATATATGAAGTCGCTTCTGATTTTTTTTCGGACTACTCTAATGCTGTTGGCTGCAGCTGGCCTTTACAGCTTCACCGAAAAGGGGGCGAGTGCAGATAGCACTCCAACGCAAAAGAAGGCTGAAGGCAAACTCCCGCCTGACGGATACGACGCCAGTCTGAGGGCACCAATAGGATCTAGGTGTAGTCTAGGGCTAGGTTCGAACCTCGGCTCAGGCCGTCGTAATTTCGATCCCCGTTTGAATTGGAAGGGGGTCGGTCGGAGTGGTTCCGCAAAAAAATATTTTATGTCAAAAAGTAATCTGGAAAGGGGTGAAATGGGGGATGAAATTTTCATGTAGACGACCTATATAACACTTGAATATGGAATAACTCTACTAAATTGTTCCGACACTGAAAGTGGCGCCAGTGTCGGAGATTCCGAAAAGTAATCATCTGTTATGGGCATGTAATGCGTAGAAATGAAGAGAACATATTAAAGAAAGTATTACATACTAACTTTTACCTGCGGCTTCGCTCGCATTGAATAAAAATATTTGTTTTATTCAATAAAAAATACCCTATGTTCATTCTAATATATTCTTTTTGCGTGAAAGCGTAACAAACATCTCTACTTTCACATTTCTAATATTGTTAAGGATTAAGGATGAATGTGGATGGTTATAAGGGCAGAGGAAAACCGAAAAAGAGATGGATGGATTGAGTGAAAGATGATATAGCAAGAAAGGTACAATGAGATGACTGCGAACAGGGATAAAAAGAAGAGAAAAACATATTACGCCGACACCAAATGGCAGAAGAAATAATCAGATCATGATAAACTCTACTAAATCCTATAATATAATTAAATACTTATAAAATTCATATTAAGCACTGTATTAAATATGTATAATTGTTTTAATATAATATTGATAACCTATAGATATCGCCCGCACGTAGCCAGACTGGAACAGAGAAACCGTAGAGTCGATTTCATACTAACTATTACCTTGACGTCTGCTTTTTTCTATAAAACTATACATATTTAGTGGATGGACTCACTACCCCCTCTGAGTTTTAGACCGTTTTGTCTCGTTCATTGCTTTTAAATTTTATTATTACATAAGCAATTGTATTCCATTTTATTTGAGACAAATAAAGATTATTTTATTATTATATAACTCTATATATACAACTCATCTTCATGTCAGATTTCATGATGCATTCAGCCGTTTAGTCATGAAAAGGTAACAAAACAAGCGAACTTTTCTATTTATTACAATAAATTACGTCATACCATAATTTCAGTAATCCAATAAACTTAGTTTGGAACGATATTTATATAGACCTGTGGTTAAAAAATCGGATGAAATGACAGTTTACAACTTTTCGAAGATCGTGACCTAACCCTAACAAAAATAATTATTTCATGCGCTTTATTCCCTTTCTTTGCCTATATAATGACGCATATTCAATGACTTATTCTAAATATTACAATGAATTCCTAATTCCTTTGACCGTTTTTAAGTAAAACCGTAAGACACAAATAAACAGTTTTACAATTCTACTGTATGTAATGATGAACAAAGTTGTGTTCACTAAAAAACAAATAGAACATATAAAATATGACTACTCCATTGCACTGTTTCATCCAAAAACGAGTACATTATCTGGTCTATTGGAATGTTTGTTATTTTAGTCTTCAAAAGGCTACAGTTAGACGCGGTAAGTTGAAATTAATTTTATTTATGAATTGCATTTTTTTTTTGTAATAATAAATATTTCACAAATTGTATTAGTAATGTAATCTAGTATTTGTTAGATAGATAGATAAGAATTATTATTTGTGTCTTAGTATATACATACAGGTTCAATTACTGGCAGTACATTACAGAATATTTGGGCTAGACAATTCATCATTACTTCATTACATTGCAAGTATATGCATATATATACAGACGGCCTCGGTTAAGCAAACCGCAACACAAAAAAAATGAATTATCAGTTATCTAGTACCCATAACACAAGCTTTAGCTAGCTTAACTTGGATCTAGATGGCGCTGTGCGAATTGTCCTAGAATATAAGTATCTATAAGTACATATATAATATATAGGAGACTATATTTTCGATAAATTGTTCAAATTCGCCTATCATAATGCTGATTGATTGATTGATTAACTGTATGTTAGTCAATCAATCAGTCATCATTATGATGAAACAGGAACTAAAATGAGCACCTACTTATATATACAATCGTTTATCAGTAATATAAATAGTTTTGCTGTAGCGTGCTGTATCATTGTCATTATCATCGACTTCACGTGCTTCCCTCTAGTCATTAAGAACTAGTTATCCGCCCCGACTTTCCACGGGTACATTAATAAAGAAAATGAGACTAAATCGTGTCTTTTTTACATCACAGTGGTGATAAATCAACACGCAACCCATCTGATGGTAAATGGTAGTTGCCAAAAATTTAGGGATGACATGAGCGTAAAACCCTTTTGAAAAACCCTATACTGCCTATAGAGTAAACCTCAGCAGGTAAATAATTCCACACTCTGAAATGCTCACGTTAATAGCTAAACGTTGATATATATTTTTTTTTAAATACAATTTTTTCACACAAATCTAATCGTCCTAAAAAAATCCTGTTTACAGATAACAATGAAACTAATCCTCGCACTGTGTACTCTGGTCATCGTGCAGGCTGGTGTTATAAAGGAAGACGGTCCTTGCGACGGTACCATAATCAATGGTATCTACCACGAAGCTGAAGTCCTGAAAACAGATCTGGATAGACCATACTTACTAGCCGTAGATCTCAGTACTAACACACTATACTTCAGCTATAGTGAATCGAAAGACGACGATGTCTTCAAATCTGCAAGATTAGATCTTAATACAAAGCAATATGGTACTATAGACGATGTCACCAATGGTTTCGCTCAAACAGTGGACCAGAAAACTCATGAGGTCTATATAGGAGGAAATGATGGTATTTACAAATATGATCCAGCTTCGAATAAGGCTGAGTTTATTGCTGAAAGAGGAACAAATATTTGGACACTTTACTACAAAGATGTGTTGTATTTCTCAGTATTTCCATCGCAGTTTTTGTACACACTCTCAAATGGTGAATCATCTAGATTTTCAGATTTGCAAGACACAAAAGTAGATCATTTTATAATTGATAACGATAATATCATGTTCTTTACTAACGCAACAGGATTGTACAGTCAAGAGAAAGGTACAAATAATGCCATTTTATATGAAGGGTTGCCAGAGAATGGAGCTAGAGGTATAACAACAGATGTAGACGGCAATGTTCATGTTTGTTATCAGGAAGGCATATTTAAAGTGAACAAAGAAACATCCAGCTTAGAGAAACTTGTGGGTTTGGATGATTCATTCGGAGTGGCGTTTGACAGTGACAATAACATTATATATGCGGACGCAACGAGAGTGGTGCGACTGAAACCTAACAAAAATAAAACTTGTTAATTTTACATATATATATAAATTCCTGTCTGTACTTAGCATACTTGAGGATACTCAAGTACGATTGGATTGCCCTGATTCGAATCGATCTCCGTCATATGTTACGATCTTACAATTTTTGACTCTATTAAAATTAATATTACTAAAATATATTTTTTTATTTGTTTTACTATTTTCTATTTATTCAAATATATCATCTTCAGTATTAATTGGATTCTCTAAATTAGTTGTAATTCTCAAGTTCTCAGTTTTTATTTACGTGGGAGATTATATTTTTTTATATATCTGTTACTCATCTAGTTTGGCATGGTTGTACGAATTTGATAGATTATAACACGTACTTTTTATTAGATAGGCAGCGTTGTGGCCTATATTTATTCATCTAGCTTATTATAATTGTATGTGTATATGTCGCTGATTAAATGCCAAAGGGCCACTGCCACTACGCAAAAAAAACTAAAACTATTTTTTTTTCAGAAATGAAATCAATCGTTATAAGTTTTATATTAAAAAAAGTGAACATGACAGTGAAAATTTTTATGAGCTCTCTTGTAAAATTTACCATTTGCGTCCTGTGGCCCTTTGACATTTAATCAGCGATACATATATTATAAGATGTATCTGATAAAGGTCTTTCATTTCCAAGGAATATAAAAAACAAAATATTGATACTTGAAGATATAACTTTTCTAAGTGTCTTCCTTTCCTGTAATTTAATCTCACACAAGAATAATTCGTTTTCCAAGTCAATAAAGAAAATAATTGTTATATCTTTCCTATTCAGTGTAGATGATGTTACAGACATCTCTACAGAGTTAACATTTGTACTATTAGAGGAATTGATTTGTATATAGACTATGGTCGAGTGACCTCCAAAGTTGTTTGTTACAATATCACACTAACCACAATACGAAGATGCGCAACAAAACACTGCTCAAATAACAAACATTATTAATCTTATTATTATCACGCAATAAGTTCATAATTGAACGGCACTCAACTCGGCGGACGCAGATAAAATAAGGTTGTGTCATTTGATGATTCTATATTATCAACACATCAATTAAATCAAACGCGATTCAGTAGCTATCGTGTGGGAACGAACGCAACGTGTGTGTATCTTAAAAACTAATATGTCAAAAACTATCAAAAATATATTCCTGATCATTATGTTGAGTGGCGAAATCAAAATGGAGACATACAAAACTGATAGTCCCGTAGAACGGATCGGAGGAAGATTTTACAAGAAGGTATTACTGACAGACCAATTTGCCGCTCCAAAAGAGTTGTGTTACGACTCGTCGAGTAGAAACCTATTTTTTATGTACATGGATGACGTGATACAGAATTCGGGTAGAGCTTCCATTAACGTGGTAACAAAAGAAGCTGTAAAAATCAAGGGCATAGAAAGAAATAAAGCTACAGCTGTGGATCCAGACACTGGTGAAGTTTATTTCGGATCTGATAATGGACTTTATAAATACGATCCCATAGATAAAAAAGCTGTAAATATAGGCTTGTACAATGTGAATATAATGAAAATTGTAATTAGGAATAACGAAATGTATTTAATTGATGCAAATAATCATAAACTTTATAAAGTGTACGATGAAGGTACAAGAACAATTTCGGTTGGTAATTACAAAACTGTGATGAATTTTGAAGTGGACAGTGTTGGACACTTGCATTTTGTTACAATGTGTGGTTTATTCTGTGCAATTAACAGAGGACTTGCAGTGAAAAATAAAGATTTGCCAACGGCGCACCATTTGATAGTGGGTGAAGATAAAACATATGCGGTCTATAATGACGGGTTGTACAATGTTGATTGTGTTAATGGTACCGCAGAGAGAGTTGCTGATCTTAATTTCGATGCGAGGAGTATCGTGTTTGGTGATTACGGTGATGTGTTTTATGCGGAAGATGATAACATATACGTGTTGAAACCTATACGATCATATCTATTATTTTGGAGGAAATCTCCATGAAAAACATGGGATAGTATATGAGATAAATATATTTATTAAAAAAGTAATAACATATATATTTATTGCGCTCCATAAAATCTATATATATATATAACTCAAAGGTGACTGACATAGTGATCTATCAACGTACAGCCCAAACCACTGGACGGATAGGGCTGAAATTTCTTCTATGATTAAAAGATTTTTGGATTATGATTTAATGTAGGATTTTGCTAAGCAAAAAGAAACGCCACTACAAATTCTATGTGGTTGTAGTTCACTCATGCACAAACGAAATATTTTCATCTCTCCTGATCCTCTCTCAAGAATATCCTTCAATTCTTGTCCCTGAGAGGTCTATAAAAGTCTATAAATTTTGTAAGGTATTATTCAGGTCGTTACGTGTCAAATTTATTACAATTAATAGACCCCCCCCCCCCCTTGTCAAAAAGATTCAGATGGAAATTAAAAGTAAGCAAAATTCTAACCCCGTCCCCCCGTGCTTACGTAAACATTTTTCAATTAAGGCATTGTTTTTTTAGCAAAGACAATGTGAGGGTTGCCATTCGTGAAAAAAGACTAGGCTCCCCTACCCAAAATAAGGATCTAGGTAGCGAACTCCGAAAAATGTCGAGCACAATAGGTCGCAGTGTTACAGATCTTACCTGACAATAGACCAAAACCAAAATGTCGTTGCACAATAGGTGAAGTGAAGAAGACAATAGACCAAAACCCAATTTCATATGGTTCATATGTAATTTTTTTTTTTTAATTTATTTTGGTACAAACAGTCATTACAATTATAATTACAAATATATATATATATATATATAGATAGTTGATAGACAACGAGTACCGAAAAGTATTTAGTAGTATTATATTAATAAGTAGTGTTGACATAATGAGCCTAGATATTAAGGTTAGAATTTTTTTTTTTTTTACATTTTATATTTTACTATTATGTAGGGTATTTATGTAATATTATACTATCTGTGGTATTACTTACAACTTCGTTGTCGTGGTGGTGACCATGGGAGTCCCCGTGGCCGTGGTCGTACGAGTCGTGGCCGGAACCAAGCGAATTAGGCGGTAAGTAGTTATTACTCGGTGCTGTAAAACCTGCAAATTCAACAAATTCATCTTTATATTGAACTGTTCATCTGCGTGGTATTAAACTTTTTTTTGTTAAAATAAATATAATAAATCGGTCCAGTCGTTTCAGATATAAGCAAAAACATACAGATTTTTTTTATTTTAATTCGTTGATGTAAAAACTATTTATATCCATATGTTTATTTCTATTTCTCTATTGCTGTTATTACTTACCATCAGGTAACATTCTTATCACATGAACAGTTTTTTTATATTTACACTAGCTACTCGCCTCGACTTCGCACGGATGTGAAACGAAGTCGCTGTTCCTTCCTCTTGAATCACTTTATCTATTAAAAAAAACCGCTTCTAAATCCCTTGCGTCGTTTAAAGATTTAAGCATACATAGGGACGGACAGACAGCGACAGCGACTTTGTTTTATACTATGTAATGATATAAAAATGGCCAGATCAAATAAGCAGATTCATAACTACGAATATTTGTATTGTGCAGCAATCGAACCCGAGACTATATAAAATAAGGCAGTATGCTAAACATCTAGACCACCGAGGTCGTCATGTAGTAAACAAAATTACCTGTGTTTGGAGGGAGGTAACTGTTGCTAGGGGTGTTGTAATTATTAGTGTGGTAGTTATTTTGGGGAGGTTGGTAGTTGTAAGACACTGGTGGCTCGCTGCTCACCATCGTGGCCAATACAGCGATACTCAGAACCTGAAGAAAAAAAAAATAATTAGGACATTTTTTTTAAGTTAAAATTATAAATACCTTAAGGCAGTACTTTGACTATGAATAGAATGAACCACGCAATAAAAAATCTAGTAAAGTGAAAAGCACTTTACTAATTACGGTACTGACATGAAAAAATGTTGAAATAATGTTTATTCTTCCTAATCTTAATTTAGAGTTCCTTAGGCTACTTATATTCTAGAATTATAATTTATTTTATAAATTAAACGTTTAAAACCTCTAGTCTGTCTGTCAGTCTCAAATCTCTGAAACGGTAGTACCCATTTTGACGGTATTTTCATTGGCAGATAGCTAATGTTACAAGAAGTAACTTAGGCTACTTTTTTTACATGATTTGATTTAAATCCACGTACGATAACTAGCAAGTTTAAAATAAAAAACTGGGCGATCACTAGTATAAATATAAATGTAAATGTAAATCTAAATATGTATATATAACTCAAAGGCGACTGACGTAGTGATCTATCAACGCACAGCCCAAACGACTGGAAGGATCGGGCTGAAATTTGGCATGCAGGTACATGTTATGACGCGGACGTAGGCATTCGCTAAGAAAGGATTTTGATAAATTCCACCCCTAAGGGGATTAATTAACGCGAGCGAAGCCGCGGGCAAAAGCTAGTGTAAATATAAATATAAATATCACAGATAACATAATTGTAAATATAAAAGATAATAATAATATTTATTTATTGCCAGAAAAAACACCTAAATAGACATTTGTACCTACACTGTTTACTTAAAGAAATCAAAACAGAAATAAACCTTATTTAAATTATTAACCGGGACTTAACACGAATAATTTTATGGCAAATAATATGAAATAGTAAGCCAAAAATAGCCGTGGTCACTAGCTAGTGTAACCTAGTCGAAACGTCGAGAGAGGTAAATAACTTTATTTGCCATAAAATTATTCGGTTAATAATATAAATAGTGTATACTAAACACAAAAGTTTAAAAAGAAATAAACCTAATAAAAACCAACCAGAAACCTCTATTTACCTAAACTGAAATTTATACTTAATTAGTAACAAGATAGGGTTCAAAACCAGTTTGAGAATGAGATTAAACAGTAATCAGGCACCTGACCAGTTCCCTGTTGTTATCTGATACAATTATGTTATTACGGCGCCATTTCTCACGTTTAATTAAGTCATTCCCATGAGGTTACGTATGCCTAAAACTGGGACACAAGCACTGAATCATTGGCAAGAAATGCCAGGATTAACACATTCAAAAGCCCTAATATCGGGCTACTCGAACAAATACTCCAATAGACTACTGCTATTGAGTAAAAACAACATATGCATGATGACTAGGGCCCTCACAGGACACTGCTAATTAAACAAGCATATGGCTAAACTAGGCCTATGCACGACAAGAATCTGCAGATTCTGCCAAATTGAAGAGGAAACGCCGCTTCACATCCTATGTGGTTGTAGTCCACTCATGCATAAACGAAATATCTCCTTTGGAAAGTTTACACTCTTTCCCGAGGAGATAAAAACCATCGCTACTAAGAATATCCTTCAATTCTTGTCCCTGACGGGTCTAGGTAGCGAACTTTGAAAAAGGGCGAGTACAATAGATCTATGTAGGTCGCAGTGCTACAGTGCTACAAACATCAGACAATAGCCCAAACATCCCAATAAAAAAAATGGGGTTACGTACTGGATTGCAATACCATAATGCCTTAACTGAATAGCCAGCCGCTAGAACTACCTAGATAAAGATAAATACATGCCGTTTTTTTATCTACATATTAATACGTAAAGCAAAAACTTTGTACTTCCCGAAGATTGACTGGTAGATAGATATAAGTCCGCCTCTTGTACCATAACTTATTGGTCAACTAGCTACTCGCCGCGCCGCGGCTTCGCACATGTTTATACATATAAACCTTCCTCTTGAATCACTCTGTCTATTAAAAAAACCGCTTCAAAATCCGTTGTGTAGTTTTAAAGATTTAAGCTTACATTGGGACAGACAGTGACTGCCACTTTGTTTTATACTATGTAATGAAAAAGTTTAAATAAATAAATATACAAATTTTATAGGCAAAAATATCACTCTAGTATTTTTATTTATGTATGCGAGTTTTAGTTTACTAATAATAGCTAATACCTACTAGCTTTGCCCGCGGTTTCATCCTATATGTTATTCTGATGTACAAGCTATATTACTGTAAGGTTTCGTCAAAATCCGTTCAGTAGTTTTTGCGTGAAAGAGTAATAAACATTCATCCATACTCACAAACTTTCGCGTTTATTATAGATTATCTTATCAGTACTAGTAACTAAACTCATGTATGTAAGTACCCCTCCGATCCCCCGTCCAATTCAAACGGGGATCGAAATTACGACGAGCCGAGGTTCGAACCCTAGGTGCCCTCAGACTAAAGTCGTATCCGTCAGGCGGGAGTTGGCCTTCAGCCGCTCCATAGTCCGTCCTTTAGTTTGGAGTGCCATCTGCACTCGCCCCCTATCGTCCGGTGAAGCTGTAATACTACGTTTATTCAGCGGCTTCCCCTGCCACTCTCGCTGCCGGAAATATTGCCGGGCGACAACTGAGCGAGAGGGCTGAATGTAACAACACGCTGCCACTCGCGCTGCCAGTTCTTTGACTCGCGCACGAAAAACCGACAATCGAGGGAGCACTGGAAAGCGCCAATGGCATGGGAAGTGTTTCCACTCATGTTTACACTCTGGCGCTGCTCACTTCCCTGCCCACTCGGGCTGAGTGTAATGCCCAATTTACACTCAGCCCGAGTAGCGTTACAGTAAAAAAAAAGTATATAAGTACAATAGTTGTCAATAAGTAGCGTGACTTTTAATTTACAAAATGTTAACTTACGTTTAAAAAATGTAAAAAATGTGTGTTTCAAATCCATTGTTATAGAATTTAATGATTATTATCAGATATATAAAAAATTGTTGATTTGCATTTTTATTTAAATTAACAACGGATGTTACAGTAACAAGGTACTATTTAATCCATTTATCCGGGATTATTGTTAATGTGAACTTCTAAACCCACACAAATAAATATTTTGTTCGGACCCAATGCTAGCTAGCAATGTACCATGTCAGCTTGACCTACACGTGGTTCCTCCTTAATACAATTGTAAAAATAAATAAAAAAATATTGTAATAAATTCCTCTTAATCTGCTGCGATGGGCTAACTGACCTGACCTCATGTTCATCTTATCATCCTCCACTGGTGCCCCGCCAGCGTAAACCGTTAGCGCAGGCGGGTGCACCAATAATATTAATAATAATAATAAATGATAATATAAAGATATGGTTTTTAATTTTTAAATGTTATACTAAAGCAGAGCGCAGTGACAGATGTGTGTAACAAAGCAATACATGAAAAGAATGCTCATATTTTAAACTAGCTTTTGCCCGCGGCTTTGCTCGCGTTAATTTATTCCCTTAGGGGGGGAATTTATCAAAATCTTTTCTTAGAGGATGCCTACGTTATAGTAACTTTATGCATGCAAAGCCTCAGCCGGATCGGTTTAAAATTGACAAAGTTTCGTACAAACTTTCACCCCCTATTTTATCCCCTTGGTGGTAGAATTAATCAAAATCCTTTCTTAGCGGATGCCTACGTCATAACATCTACCTGCATGCCAAATTTCACCACGATCCGTCCAGTGGTTTCGGCTGTGCGTTGATAGATTACTATGTCAGTCACCTTTGAGTTATATTTATTTAGATATGGATAAACGAATATAAAAAACTGCCAGTGATTCTCACTGTATGTCTAACGATGGTTAATAAAAAAACTATATGGGGGTTGTTAGTAATGTCATATTATGTTATCTGTGGTAATGTGAACTAATCACCCCTTTGCTAATGTTGCTACCAATCAGAGGTACAAAATCACATTTATTAGGCTGGGTCGCAGTTTTAATATTTATTTTTAAATCTTAATTGATAATAGATCATTACTAATATTATAAATGCGAAAGTAAATCTGTCTGTTTTGTCAGTCTCTATTTCACGCCAAAACAACTGAGTGAACTGAACCGATTTAAATGAAATTTGGTACACACATAGTGTAGACCCTGAGGACTTACGGACATACGGGCTACTTTTTAATGCGAAAAAAGGCTTACAAGGGGTTGTAAGGGGAGATGAAAGTTTGTATGGATATATCGTAATTTTTAAAGCTAGATGCTTGAAACTTATTATTAAGACTGTTGATTAAATATAAATAAAAATAACAAAAATGAAAGATTTTATAGAAATTCGTTATTTTTATAAACAAGACTGATTAAATTTTTAATTTGGAATTTTATAATTAACCTAAATAATTTAAAATGCCATCAAATTACTATTCCACGCACAGGCACAGCTAGTATATTATAAATAGTACCATTTTCATGGCCCTGTTCCGAGTAACTCATAGATGTGTACTCGTATGTTACTACAACTTCAAGGACTACCTTTATTTGTACAATCTACTATGGGATCTGCATATAATTATTACACAATATTGTTATTATCTTGTCGATAGCCTTCGAGCCTACCATAATGCTTTGACTATAGCAATTTAGACTTTCTTACAGCTTTATATAAAGGTTCATTTGCAATGAAAGCGTTTAGATATTAGGATTGCAGTCACAAACAAATAGAACGTTGAATAGAAATGGTATTAGATGTTGTGCTTGTTTGTTATAGGGATTGGTTCACATGGCGCGTATAAGAATATATCAGGACAAAACCCGGGTAGAGTACATATAAAACTGAATCATATGCACTAAGAAATAAAGTCGTAATAAGAATTTTACATTAGCTGTGCCCGCATGAAATTTATAGCCTATATGTTATTCTGGTGTGTAAGCTATTACTTTAAAGTTACATCAAAATCCGTTCAGTTGTTTTTGCGAGAAATATCAGGTAGAGTTCGCAGTTCCACCTAGAAAGCATGTTAAATTCGTAATACCACGATGGGC